AAGGAGACCAACACTGCATACAATACGCTTGGTGCGGTCTCACCAGGGCCCTGTACAGTTGCACCAAGACTTCCCTACTCTTGTACTCTAAACCTTTTGCAATGAACGCTAACTGCCGTTCGCCTTCTTAGTTGCTGCTGCACCTGTGAACTAACTTTTTGACTGGTGTACAAGGACACCCAAATCCCTCTGAACACTAACACTATCTAATCTCTCCCCCTCTAGAAAATAATCTGTTTTTCTATTTTTTCTACCTAATAGATAGAAAGGAAAGTGAGTAAACATTTCGGGTCCACGACTCTTCGTCAGAACGGGGCCGTGGTTGGGAGGGAGAGGCTTTCAAGGCTTAACAGAGAGGGGCAGGCAGGGCAAGGAAGACTAAGGAGAAAATAAGGTAGAGGACAGGGAATGATGGGTTAAAGAGGTGTTAATGATGCAAAACAAGGGGGGGGGGAATTGCAACAAAACAGACTGACCAGAGAGAGAAAAGGTGTGTCTGGGACCCAGATGATGTGGTGATGGTCACAGAAGAGGGGGAGCGGGAAGATGAGCTGTTATAGTCTGAAATTGTTGAAATCAATATTGTGGCCACAGGGCTTTAAGGTCCCTTGGAGATAGCTGAGGTGCTGTTCCACGATCTTGCGCTGTGGCTCATTGGAACAGAATAGGAGACCATGGATGGAGAGGTCAGAGTGTGAGTGGGGGGGGGAGAGTTGAAGTGGCAAGAGACGGGAAGCTCAGGGTTGTCCTTGCAGACAGAAGTAGCTGGCAAACTAGTTACTAACATTTGGACAACCCAAAATTGTTTTATTTAAAATTTTAATACACACTTTTTTATCTAGGAAACTGTAATAAGTACAATGCAGGACTATAATACGTTCCTTGCTTGCAAGTATAATTTGGGAAAGTTTATCAACTAGGATAAGTCGAACCAGGCCAGTCAAATGCCACGTGACCGACTCTCTTGTCTTATCTCTTTCGCGGTAAAACGTAAACATTTCTCTAATCATTGCAATGAGTTTGCGATCTGCCTTATACAGTCTCACTGCTGGCAAGTGCTCAGACCTTGACAACTGTGAAATTCGCTCCCACTCTCCATAACATTGTGTTCACATCTATAGCGACGTGTTGTTTCTATCCTCCGGGTCTTTAAACGAGAATCTGTTGTTGGTTGATTTTCCAGTTGTTTTTTTGAAAAGCGACATGGCTGGTTTGAAACTGGTTGGGGGGGTTAATAATCTCTGTGGAATTTAACTGATCCCCTTCCCTCCCTCTTTTCATCCTAAAATGCGCTGGAGCTCAGGAACTCTCAGTTGAGCACAACTGCTCAACCACAGTCACAACCAAATATTCCCAGTCGTAAACAATGCTGTATTTATCCTTTCCTTAAAAGACAGTTTTTGTTACCAATATAACTGTTCTTTTCACTTTTCCCCCTTTCCATTTGTCTGGAGGCTGCCTTCCCTCTCCCTCCCAAATCAAAATATTGATGGAAGCCATCAAAACGTATTAGTATTAGTATTATTATTAAATGGTACATTTATTACGTGTTCCGAGATCCAGAAGAATTTAAAGGTTATTTCCTTCAGCAGAAAGTAAGTTGTGATGATCTGATCTCTCTCTCCCTCCTCTTTCGTGGTTTGTTCTTTGGCGCCGACGGTATAAGAGTCTGAACTCATTAAATCCGACGCTGGTGATTGAATTTGAAGCAGATCATTAAAGTGGGGTCACTTTCCTTCCCCTGAGGCCAATCCTTCCTCCGCAATATATGAACCAGAATATGGTTACCCTGGTGGTGCAGTTTAGTGGAAAAACATAGCTGAGATATTTTGGAGTCACGGCCATGTGTATATACACACAAACACTCGCTGCCACACAAACTTATTTAAAAGGGTAACGCGCCTCTTATTTCATATTTCCTGTGACTGCATTTGTGGAAAAGGAGATTGTTTTACTTTGATATTTGAGAGTTGGGAAAATAACTGGGATACATCCCAAACAATTCCCGCTTTATTATATAAATCCATCAGCACCCCCCCCCACATACATACATACATACACCACACTACATACACCACACACACCACACTACATACACCACACTACCTACCTTACCTACCTACCTACTTACATACACTACATACATACACATTGCATACACTACATACACTACATACATACACCACACCACACTACACACATACTACATACACTACATACACCACATTACATACACTACATACATACACCACACTACATATACTACATTGTGGAGTCCTGTAGCTCAGTGGTTAGAGCACTCGCTTCACAAGTGAGAGACCTGAGTTCAATCCCCGGGGGGTCAGGGTGAAACCTTGGGCAAGTTTCCTTACTCCACACAGAGCCTAATAATAATCCTCCAAAACCCAAAACAATAATAAATTGGTCATTTTCAATCTACGACTGTTTGTGGGACATTGCTGTGCACAATTGGCTGCCGTGTTCGCCCACAAATATACAGTCACTTCACTTTACAGTGTGTTCTGTGAAGCGCTTTGGGACGTCCTCCCGACGTGAAAAGCGCTATATCAAATGCAAAGATTATTATTATTATTACTACACACATCACTTACACACTGTGGCCGAGTTCTGAGCTAATGCAGTAAGAGGAATATTTCTGATCTGCTGTGAAGTGCCCGCGGGATCCGCCGCTGTCGGGAAGAGCTCGGGATCCGCCGCTGTCGGGACGAGCTCGGGATCCGCCGCTGTCGGGACGAGCTCGGGATCCGCCGCTGTCGGGACGAGCTCGGGATCCGCCGCTGTCGGGAAGAGCTCGGGATCCGCCGCTGTCGGGAAGAGCTCGGGATCCGCCGCTGTCGGGAAGAGCTCGGGATCCGCCGCTGTCGGGAAGCGCTCGGGATCCGCCGCTGTCGGGACGAGCTCGGGATCCGCCGCTGTCGGGAAGAGCTCGGGATCCGCCGCTGTCGGGACGAGCTCGGGATCCGCCGCTGTCGGGACGAGCTCGGGATCCGCCGCTGTCGGGAAGAGCTCGGGATCCGCCGCTGTCGGGAAGAGCTCGGGATCCGCCGCTGTCGGGAAGAGCTCGGGATCCGCCGCTGTCGGGAAGAGCTCGGGATCCGCCGCTGTCGGACGAGCTCGGGATCCGCCGCTGTCGGGACGAGCTCGGGATCCGCCGCTGTCGGGAAGAGCTCGGGATCCGCCGCTGTCGGGAAGAGCTCGGGATCCGCCGCTGTCGGGAAGAGCTCGGGATCCGCCGCTGTCGGGACGAGCTCGGGATCCGCCGCTGTCGGGACGAGCTCGGGATCCGCCGCTGTCGGGAAGAGCTCGGGATCCGCCGCTGTCGGGAAGAGCTCGGATCCGCCGCTGTCGGGAAGAGCTCGGGATCCGCCGCTGTCGGGACGAGCTCGGGATCCGCCGCTGTCGGGAAGAGCTCGGGATCCGCCGCTGTCGGGAAGAGCTCGGGATCCGCCGCTGTCGGGAAGAGCTCGGGATCCGCCGCTGTCGGGAAGAGCTCGGGATCCGCCGCTGTCGGGAAGAGCTCGGGATCCGCCGCTGTCGGGAAGAGCTCGGGATCCGCCGCTGTCGGGAAGAGCTCGGGATCCGCCGCTGTCGGGAAGAGCTCGGGATCCGCCGCTGTCGGGAAGAGCTCGGGATCCGCCGCTGTCGGGAAGAGCTCGGGATCCGCCGCTGTCGGGAAGAGCTCGGGATCCGCCGCTGTCGGGAAGAGCTCGGGATCCGCCGCTGTCGGGAAGAGCTCGGGATCCGCCGCTGTCGGGAAGAGCTCGGGATCCGCCGCTGTCGGGAAGAGCTCGGGATCCGCCGCTGTCGGGAAGAGCTCGGGATCAGCCGCTGTCGGGACGAGCTCGGGATCCGCCGCTGTCGGGACGAGCTCGGGATCCGCCGCTGTCGGGAAGAGCTCGGGATCCGCCGCTGTCGGGACGAGCTCGGGATCCGCAGTTTAATCAGTTTAAAAGATTTGGAAATAAAAAATATGACTCTCGGGAGAGTCTGTCCCTAAACCATGAAGAGGGTCTGGAGGTCAGTTCTGTCGCTCCTCACTCCACCCAAAGCCTTTCAGTCTCAACTCAGTTCCACTCTCACATTTACACCGAATGCGGACCCGGTGCGGACCCGGTGTGGGCTCTGCGCCGTTTAATATCAGTTACAGAACACACATCACGGGATGGAAATGGCTAAAGGGCATTTCATTGGGAACCAACGCTGTGGCGGTGTCACTGTCACCGACACCGACACCTCCGGTGGGATTCGCTGCCGCGGAGCGGAGAGCGCGAACCCCGCGATTAGTTTTCATAAAGACGTTAGTAATATATATATATATATATATTGATGTAAATCCGCTCCACATTGTCGCTCATTCCCTCTTGAAAGTGTTTTTTGAAAACTAAAAAGTAATTTGTAGCGAAAATACAAAATTGCTTTGATTTGATCTCAGGAACTGAGACACAACAACAACACCACCACCACAACTATAATCATAATAATAATAATAATAACTGCACGTGATTCAGCGCCTTATCACGGGCTGAGGCGTCCCAAAGCGCTTCCCGGGACACAGTACAAAGCGATGAGATCCCATTAGAGAGAAACGGTAAAACGCGGTTAGAAAGTGATGTGACAGTGAGTGCGATTCGGTGTCGATGTCAGTGTCAGTGTCGGTGTCAGTGTCAGTGTCGGAGTCGGTGTCAGTGTCAGTGTCGGTGTGGGAGTCGGTGTCGGAGTCGGTGTCAGTGTCAGTGTCAGTGTCGGAGTCGGTGTCGGAGTCGGTGTCGGTGTCAGTGTCGGTGTCGGTGTGGGAGTCGGTGTCGGAGTCGGTGTCAGTGTGGGAGTCGGTGTCGGAGTCGGTGTCAGTGTGGGAGTCGGTGTCGGAGTCGGTGTGGGAATCAGAGTCGGTGTCGGTGTCAGTGTCGGAGTCGGTGTCAGTGTCAGTGTCGGTGTGGGAGTCGGTGTCGGTGTCCGCACTGAGCGGCTCCGGTGCTCACCCGATCAGCCTCCGGGCCGGGAGGCGGCTCCGCGCCCGGGAAGGGGAAGCCCGGAATCGGGGTCTCACGGCGACTGTCGGGCGGTCTCTCGGGTTCCGGGTCCAATCCGCTCTGTTCCGCTGAGAGACGCCGCCGCTCCGGGACCCCGCGGGGCCGCCGCTCGTGCCCGGGGCGGGGGCCGGGCCCGGGGTGCCCTCCGGGGGCGGGAGGGTGACTGGCGGCCGGTGGGCCCCTCGGGGGCTGTGCCCGGCTCTGCCCTCCCCGGGACCCGGAGCCCGGGGCGGGCGGGGGCGCGGAGGGCTGTCCCGGGCGGTCAGGGCTCTGCCCTCCGCGGGACCCTCACAGCCACTCGGGGTCACACACCACAAACACAGGGCGAGCAGCGGGAGGGTCCCCCACCGCAGACTGTACCCCGACATCTCCTCCTCAGCGGATCCCTCCGACAGTCCGTCAGTCAGTCACTGCCCCAAACGATCCCAATCCCCGGAGCGCAGCACCGACTCTCTCCTCCGAACAAAAAAGGCTTTAATTGTAAACTCCCGAGTTAGGACTCCATTTAACTGTAGACGTTTGCGGGGACTCTGTCTGTGTGTGTGTCTGTGTGTGTGTCTGTCTGTCTGTGTGTCTGTCTGTCTGTGTGTCTCTGTGTGTCTGTGTGTGTGTCTGTCTATCTGTGTGTCTGTGTGTGTCTGTCTGTGTGTCTGTCTGTCTGTGTGTGTGTGTGTGTCTGTCTGTGTGTCTGTCTGTCTGTGTGTGTGTGTGTGTCTGTCTGTGTGTCTGTCTGTCTGTGTGTGTGTGTCTGTCTGTCTCTGTGTGTGTCTGTCTGTCTGTGTGTCTGTCTGTCTGTGTGTGTGTGTGTGTGTCTGTCTGTGTGTGTGTGTGTGTGTGTCTGTCTGTCTCTGTGTGTCTGTGTGTCTGTCTGTCTCTGTGTCTGTCTGTGTGCCTGTGGGGTGGTGAGTGGCTGTTGAACTCCCACTCAGTCACTGTAATTTTTGTTATATTGAGGAAGTGCCTCTCTCCGGAGTGAAGGGTTTTTGCAGTAACTCAGTGACTGCCCTTTCGCTGCTTTACGCACAGAGCGCTCTCTCTCTCTCTCTCTCTCCCACTCGCTCTGAGCTCTGAGCTCTGACGTTGCGACAAAATCGATTGCGGTAAATAGCAAAGAGGGATTTCTTTTAACACAAATCCTCGCAACATCCACCCCCTCTATACCCCCCCCCACCCCCCATACCCCCCCACCCCCCATACCCCCATACCCCCCCCACCCCTCTATACCCCCCCACCCCCCATACCCCCCACCCCCATACCCCCCCACCCCCTCTACACCCCCCACCCCCTCTACACCCCCCCACCCCCCATACCCCCCCCACCCCCTCTATACCCCCCACCCCCTCTATACCCCCCCACCCCCTCTATACCCCCCCCACCCCCGATACCCCCCACCCCCTCTATACCCCCCACCCCCATACCCCCATACCCCCCCACCCCCATACCCCCCCACCCCCTCTACACCCCCCCACCCCCATACCCCCCCACCCCCTCTATACCCCCCACCCCCGATACCCCCCCACCCCTCTATACCCCCCACCCCCATACCCCCCCACCCCCTCTATACCCCCCCACCCCCTCTATACCCCCCACCCCCCATACCCCCCACCCCCTCTATACCCCCCACCCCATACCCCCCACCCCCTCTATACCCCCCACCCCCATACCCCCCAACCCCTCTATACCCCCATACCCCCCACCCCCATACCCCCCCACCCCCTCTATACCCCCGTACCCCCAAACTCACCCCCCATACCCCCAAACTCCCCCCCACCGCCCCATACACCCCCTCCCCCACTCAGCCCCACCCCATACCCACCCCCACCCAGCCAGCCCCCCCAACCCCCCATACCCACCCCCACCCAGCCAGCCCCACCCAGCCACCCCCCATACCCACCCCCACCCAGCCAGCCACCCCCACCCAGCCGCCCCCCCCACCCACCCAGCCAGCCACCCCCATCCCCACCCAGCCGCCCCCCCCACCCACCCAGCCGCCCCCCCACCCCCACCCAACCGCCCCCCCACCCAGCCGACCCCCACCCAGCCACCCCCCACACCCCCACCCAGTCAGCACCCCCACCTCGACAGCCACGTCAGGAGGACGTCCCAAAGCGCTTCACAGAACACACTGTAAAGTGAATTGACTGTATATTTGTGGGCGAACGCGGCAGCCAATTGCGCACAGCAATGCCCCACAAACAGTCGTAGATTGAAAATGACCAATTTATTATTGTTGTTGGTTTTGGAGGGATTATTATTAGGCTCTGTGTGGAGTAAGGAAACTTACCCAAGGTTTCGCCCTCTGCCTGGAATTGAACTCAGGTCTCTCACTTGCAAAGCGAGTGCTCTAACCACTGAGCTACAGGACTCCACGACTCAGAGCGAGTTCATTGTTCTGCTGCGGGGAAATCATTCCATTATATAGAAGTTATACCACAATAAATCACCCAAATAAATTAAAAAGAGGACAGTTGGGGGCGGATGGGGACATGGTATTTTTGTGCAGCGCTGCTGTTAAATTTGAACCTAGATTTCTCCAGTAAATATGATTTATTTGGGATGGATCTGGGGAATCTGGTGGGATAATGGGTTTGTATCTTGTGTTGGTCTCTTATATGCATCATTGAGTGTTTCTTCAGTTTTCTTAAGTATATTCCTAATATCAAGAAACTGGGTTTAACCACAAATTCATGTTGAGTTTAGTTATGCCATTGTGGCCATACAGCACTATCTGAAGCACGCACCCTCCCTACAACCCAACCGGACACCAGAGAAACGCACAAGGAATACTAAAAGTGACTGGAACTCAAAATCTTTCCTGAAATATGGTACTTATCAAGGTTAGCAAGGTTTCTATTTGAGCCATGAATTCGCAAAAGAGGTTCAGGGTGAAAAAGACCTTTTGGCCAATTCTGATTCCATTCTCCGCGCCTGAAACCAGTTACTTCAGTTGGGGTTGAATGTGGGATTTTGCTGGAAACAGCGAATGGATGATGCACTGACTCAGAGCCACTGGGGGAGCTCAAGATATTAGATTTTTTGAAACTTACAGTAAAAGAAAGTTTGAATTGTAGCCAAGAAATTTATAATAATGACTAGATCGTAGTTATTACACAACAAACAAACAGTCTCATCTGCGCCACCAAATATGCATTAACCCTTTAGACATTGCTAAAGGATTAACTTTGATTCATCAGTTTGTTAATGCTTTAGAAAGGAACAGTCTAACCAGCTGTGAACCTGGTGTGCATTCACACTCAACTGCTAACAATCAGATCTGATTGTGGATCACGACCTGTCAGTGGCTATGAAGAGCTCATTGTGATAGGCGCAGCATGTATAACATTTTGAATGCCCCAAAAGACCAGAAAACTAAGGTAACAGCCCCAAAAGTAGTGGGAACTGTGATTGAATGGTAACAGTGAACAATGCTCTTTGCCAGAGACATGAGAAGAGTAGGCCAATTTGAAGGACAAGATTGTAATTAATTTCCCTGTTGACAATTCCCCAGTAACAGTACAGACACATTATTATTTATGTGTTGGGATTGTCCAACCAGTTTTAAGTATTTCACAGATTTACTACAGTTTTGTGATCATTGTATAGGACTGAATAAGAAGCAAATACATTGTCACACATGGAAAGGTCCCCATTGTGTGTGTGTGAGTATAGTTTTTTTTAAAAAAAACACATTTCACCCACAAAATACACAGTCAAATCCCTTTACAGTATATTCTGTGAAGTGCTTTGAGACGTCTCGAAGACATGATAAGGTGCTGTATCAAATGCAAGGATTATTATTATTAAGAAAATGTTCCCAGCTATTAATGTAAATTCGCAATCCCTGGTGTTGATAGTTTTGGATTATGGCCTAAATAAACCATATCATATTACATTAGATCATTAGATGGATTGCCTGGGTTTTACTTTTATAACATTACAGTGAGCTGCTGAACTATATTTGTTTTGTAGTTAAAAAAAGTTTGACAAGTTTTGAGATAGTAATTGCTTGCTAATGAGTGATCAGCCCACTTTAATTAAAGCTGCCAGTGAAGGATTGTGAGTGGTGGTTGATGTCCCCTTTGTGCTTAAACAGTCACTCTCCTAAAACCAGATTGCTGATTACAGACTCCTTCAATACGTTTTCACTCTATTATATTAACACAAGGTCATCACTTAAACAGTGCAGAGCAGTAATCAGAAGATAATAATCCCATAATAATCCTTGCATTTGATATAGAGGCGTATCACGTCTTTGAGATATCTCAAAGCGCTTCTCAGAATATACAGTTGGCAGCTGAGCTAAATTGATAGAATTGCATTGCAAATCAATCAGCCTTCACAATGAAATAACTATAACGTGGTATATTTTCCTTTCTGTTTTAAAAAAATCTCCAGAATAAAGCACCCAATCTCTCCGGAGGTTTTGTGTGGCATGTCTGTGTTTGTGGTGCTGTTTGTGGTGTGAATGTTTGTGGTTTGTGTGTGTATATGTGTGTCTTTGTTGTGTGTGTGGCATATGTGTGTGGGTGTGGTGTAAATGTTTGTGGTTTGTATCTTTATGTGTATTTCTGTTTTGTATGTGTATCTATCTATTTCCGGGATTACACAAAGAGTAGACAGTGAATTGATATAACTGTTCACAACCAATAAAGTCACAAATAAGTTTTGGTTGGCTTCTGGCACTTCCAACTACATTTAATGTGATAAATATCAAATATGGCCACTACATTGATCTTAGTGCTACTTTATATATACATCAAGCATTTAGAAATAAATTAAGTACTCGTGTTAATACCTTGCATGCAAACATTTTATAGATTAACAGAAATTACAGTATTTTCACCCATCAAGTCAACACCAGTGCAGCCTCAACCACTGATGCTATTTATTCTGTTTTCAAACCTATTCTAGTAATAGTACCTCCAATGGAAGAATCTACTCTAATCCTAATTACCTGCTTTATTATTTTTCCTCTCCAAATATTTATAGAATCATGGAAACATGCTTTACAAACTGGCCTTTCTTGACTAGAAATCACAGTATAAATTACTTTGAATTAGGATACAAGCTAGTCTGAGCAATGAGCGAGAGTATGGCATGACTGATTAGGAAAGCGCAGGATCATTTTCCAACGTTAGTGAGACTACAGAGAGCCACAGATCAAAGGCCAGGAATATTTCCACAGGGCGATTCTAAAAATTCAGAAATCAAGTGGCTCCCATGCACTTCCTGCCAAATGGCCATAAAGTGGCGTGCCTGGAGCCTGGTGAGCAAGTCATCTCTGCCCTCTTTAGGCAAAACCTAAAGCAAGCGAAAGATGAAAATTGTCTTTAAAAAGTAAAGAGAGGTACATGCCTTCACAAAAAGA